GATAAGATCTGATTTTGAAATTACAACATGCACATAATTTATTCATAGAAATGCAAAATCAATTATTCCGGAAAATGGTATTCAAAATTCATATCGTTTTTTTTTATCAAAAAATAAAAATTTATATTGTGGCAATGGCATTTGAAGAATTTGTTTTTGAAGAAATCGTGGCGTATAAAAATAAAATAAAAATACCACTTAGAAAATGGAAAGGGAAGAAGTGAACTCGTGAACTGATTATACATACCAAATGTGCACACAGAAAAGCCTTCCTCACATAAGCCTAATTTCACACTTCACATCTTCGTTACGCCTTTGAAGTTTAAATACCTAACGTTCTCTCTTATTTCCTCCTTTTTCTTCACTCTCTTTCTTTCCGGCGTCACTATGGCGACTACCGTCGGTAAAGGCAACGGACTCGACCACATCAAGAATGAATCCGTTGATCTGGTAAATTTACATGTCTTCTTTGTTTTCTTTGATATATATGTTTTCAATCTTTTGCCCGACTAATTCCAAAACGTAATAGTATTATTGTGCACCTAACTCAAACTCGCTACATTCCATTTCTTTTAAAAAAATTTCTCGAAACGTGATTTGATTTCTATTGTGAGTCCCACTAGAGTTCATAGTATGGCTTTATAGGATCTAAATCCAAATTAAAACGATGGTAGAACATTTTTAAAAACGATGTCCTAACATCACGATCCTATATTGCCTACTTTAAACTCTTTGTTTCTCTCTACCAACAATGTAAAATTTCAAAAAATATTATTTTTCTTGTGATATATTTTACAGCCCTTTATATTATTTTTATTCGATTTGTTTCCATCATTTTTTGTTATGATATCTTAAATAAATACCGCTACATCACCTAAATATAAGATTGTATTATAATCAATCATGCTCTTCCTTAAAATCTAAGTATTGTAGCCATATTTTAAAGTCCTAGAAAAGGAGTTGCTTGTATTTGATTATAAGAGACTCCAATAATTTTCCATTGAGAAAGTCGTACCACACAAGTAAAAGAAGTATAAAAATATGATAAAATAATATGATCAGTGATCGGTAATGCAGGTTCGAATACCAATGGAGGAAGTGTTCGAGGAGCTAAAATGTACAAAAAATGGTCTTTCATCAGATGAAGCTTCTTACCGTCTCGACTTCTTTGGTCCCAACAAGCTCGAAGAGAAGAAGGTTTATTCTTTGTCATATTTTCTCTTTGATAAATACATCATTAATGAAACTCTTTTCAAGTTTCAAATTTGTGATTGGGTAACACACACAGGAAAGCAAGTTTCTAAAGTTTTTAGGATTCATGTGGAACCCATTGTCGTGGGTGATGGAAGCGGCGGCTCTAATGGCAATCGCCCTGGCGCACGGAGGAGGACGGCCACCGGATTGGCAAGACTTTGTGGGGATAGTGTGTTTGCTATTCATCAACTCAACCATTAGTTTTATTGAGGAAAACAATGCTGGTAATGCTGCAGCTGCTCTTATGGCCAGTCTAGCTCCTAAAACAAAGGTTAATTCAACTAATTAATTTCTTTCTATTTCTGGTAATATTAATTTTTTTTTAAAAAAGGAGAATTGTAGTTCTAAATATTTTTAGTTATTCAATACTGCATAAAATTAACAAAACCAAAAAAATACATTTTGCTGAAAGAAACCAAAATATTAGGATTTCATTCAAAAAGATTTTAATTAAATTGAAAAACAAAATTGATAGTTTTTTTTATTAGTATGTTGTACCTATTAAATTAAATCATCATATCAACTATATAATAAAGAAAAGTAGATATTTTTCGCATGTGTTATTATTTGATTTGTTTAAAATAAAAATTTATTCAATTTATGAGAAAAAATAGCATGCTATTTTTCGCATGTGTTATTATTTGATTTGCTTAAAAGAAAATTTTATTCAATTTATGAGGAAAACTAGCATGCTAAGTTTCACATTGTATACGAAGATGAATGATCAATCTTAAACCTATTATA